GCAACTTCAGGGATCTTATCTATGCACAATCAGCTTGTAACACTCCAAAGAGAAAGGAAAACTTGAAATCGCATCATATGACCCCTTTAAATGAAATGCAATGTGGAGGATGCTAACTGTGACAAGATGATTGACAGGCCAGTTTACAGTGACAGGGTGCGTGTATCTATGCGACAGAGCGTCTGTTAAAGACGCAGTTGTGTGACCTGATAGTATGTCCCAAAGCTTGCCTACTTTTCTACTACACACTCAAAAGTGTGTAGGCTACTTTTTCTTCACCAAAATAGTACATACTTTAAGGGCGTAGTATAAGTAGGCACATTGAAACGCAGCAATAGTGTATTCTTTAACCCTGCAAAGACTGACATGAAATAATAGTCCGAAAAAATGTATTTATTTATTATTTATTTATGTATGTTTGTTTGTTGGTTTGTTTTTAAATGGAGCAATTTATAAAAAATGAAGCCTATCTAATAATATTCCCCTTATGAAAATTACATTTTCATGTTCTCAGGTTGTAGTAGACTCACAGAGCTGTGCTTCACTTAATGCAGGAGTCATTTCCGGAAAAAAATCACTAAAATTCTAAATGAATTCTATAATTTACATTTATATCTGCAGGTGTCACTTAGCCAACAGATCATATTAGCGCATGCTGGCGATGGGCAGAGCGAAAGCATTTTCACACAAGACTGACATTTAAATATCTGTCTATAATTCGCATGCATAGAATTCTCCAGCGGTCTTGTGCCGCCGTCAAAACTCCCCAGTTCTGCACGAATCATGGAAATTACATATTTTAGATTGAAAGCTGCATTGATAATATTTTACCTACAATAATGATGGAATTTTATCATCGCAATAGTAATTAAAAATTACGTTGAAATATAAAGGTATAGCCGTTATAAGCTATATATTACCGAATGTGCCAACCCGAGTTTCTTTACCTTTAGATTGTTACATCATATAGGCTACGCATTCACTCATCATCGCTGGTTGCTAAATAGAGAGAATAATCTGTTTTCTTTGTTCTTTTTCATTAATGCCACGGTAGCCTACCTTCTGTGGAATTTTCAAGGTTACTTCAATAATAGGTCTTTGAATATCATGAACATTATGTTTTAGCTTATGTTTTGCTATCTGCGCATTTGTGTCACTGAGGAAAACGCAGATGCACTGCACAAAACCCAAAGCAGCAGCAGCTTCAGCCAGACACACGCTCAGCGCTGGAACCCCGACACGTACTTATCCTTATATGGGCATTTTCCTGTTTGGCAGTGTGCGTCACCGCGTGACGCGCGAGAGGTGCAGATGCTGAGACTGGAGGGGTCAGGAGACGGCACATTGAGCATCTATTTAATTATGTGCAACTGCAACACGGAATAACAAAATATAAAATCACTCATAAAATTATTTATATTAAAGCAGTATAGAGTTGGTCCAATATCCTTTTTGTCTTTCTTTCACTGCCTCATTTTCACATAGGCTACTGTAGCAGAATTATAGCCTACAGCATGACAACAGAAGACATTATCAGATTATCAACGTATAGTGTGGAATATTTCAGTTTGCATGAAATGATCATCGTCATATGCATAAATCATATTCATAAGGACGTTATGCATGTCTTCATGCATATCAGGGTCCATCAGAATTTTATGAATGAATATGTGGCACGGGCCACATTTCGTCCTCACAGGGGTTATCGATTCACTGCGCGCAGCTTTGCCACAGTGACTTCTGTTTCAGTCGACATTTCAGTTCAATACGGATTAAGCGATAACATGCGCGAATGTGCTCAGAAAGCTGTTGTCTATGCGTGTTCTGTAGAGGCGCTCCCCGCGTGCGGAATGGTACGGTCCGTTTCATTCATAAAATCCAGGCGGACTATAAATAGCCGCTCGCGGAGCTGAGTGTCACTGACCAGGTTTATAAACCTGGAGAGAGCGGCTCCGACATCACGAAGCGAGGCATCTGGACCGCAAGCGCTGGAATCTAGTCAACAGTTTGTCCGTGCGCGCTGGAGAAATGTTTCTGAGCAAAGCGAAGACTGATCCGGACTCCTCGTGCTCTTTGCCTGGGGACCCCGGCTCCAGCAAACCCACCGATGCCCCGATGGACAGCAGCGCACAGGTAGAGAAGACTTATACTTTCAATGCATTCGGTGCACGTGGATTAACTGCTGATATATAATGCAAATGTTTGTTTTTGGATGCCATTGTTTTTATATGTATATTATTCTGAAAAATACAACAGATAGCCTATTAGGCCATTATCCTTAAACAGTCATAGATTTTGAATAGCACGCTATTGCAGCGCGTGTGCGCTTTTTCTGTTTATCTGATGTTGAATGTGATGTTTTGTCGCGCATCCTTTGCAATGCAGCGAAACATGGTGTATAGCCTAAATGCAGGTGTTCATTGAGAAAAAGAAATCCATTGAGGAGAGCCCACAGCAGCCCTGCGTAAGCATTGACGTCAGAGACAATGCAAAAGTTAAATATTGATCAGGAGGCTATTTTTAGACGCTCGGGCGTATTTAAAGAACGAGTCTTAAACTCGAAAGATATTAAAAAGTGACGTTTGAAAACCTGGCTATGCAGATGCACATAAATCAGTGTTGTGTTTATGTCGCTAGAATGATCACATTTCCATCTCAATTGCAGGGCTCGTTCGTTCCGACGGTCACCGCGATCTCCAGCACGCCAGACCTGCAGTGGATGGTCCAGCCGACCATAATCACGTCTGAGTCTCCGTCTCTGGGTACAGCCGAAAGCAATGAACCGGCAAAGAGCAAAGCAGCTGGGAACAAGGGCAAATGCGCTGCCAGAAAGAGCAACAGCAAGAGCGAGCAGGTAACAGTTCTGCATTTGCTGCGTGTTTGGCGCGCGCGATAATCTGTGAAGCGTGTGCCTGGGATTGATGGGGATGCAGCTCTTGCTTTGGCATGCTGCCTAGACCAGCAGCATCCTCTTTATATTCAGGTCACAGCAAGTCTGCAACAATAGACTATTTTTAGACGCATTGCAGAGAAAGACGCGTTTGGGGTGAATTGGCGATAGAAGGCAAGCGTTTTTGCAGGGGATGCATGGATTCTTCGAGATGGTAATGAGTGCAATTCATCTTGGCTTTGACTAGCTCTCTCCGGAGGAAGAGGAGAAGAAGAGGATCAGGAGAGAGAGGAATAAAATGGCTGCAGCGAAGTGTCGCAACAGACGGAGAGAACTCACCGACACCCTCCAGGCAGTGAGTGCACACATCATTCACAACATAAGGGTTTCATTTCGAAATCTCCAGTTCATCCAGAACATTCTATTTAAAAAAAAAAGTTATCCATACCATGCTAGTTTGCGCCATTGTCCAAGGCTTCTTCCGAAGTCGTGTGACAGACAGCATTGTGTGAGAACAGACTCAAATGTTAAAGGTGAAGTGTGTCGTTCCAGCGTCAGAAAACAGAAATTCAAATAATGATGGGTTCAAACATTCGCCCCAAACTCTTGATTTACTGTTGCAAACAGAGCAATCACCTACCAGTGGCTTATAATTGGGTCTAAATATTGAGATGAGATAGGAAAAGATATTGTAATAGAAAAAAGTATTTTTTCCATTCATTGACGTCAATGGCACCATATTTAACTGTAGAGTCACAGTAGAGAGCAAACCAGTGGTCTGTTCTTCACACACAATGTAGCCACTTCCGAAAGAAGGTTTTTGCACAGATGCCGCAGAAGAACCTTTCAGTGAACAGTTCCTAAAAGAACCATTTTTTAGTGTGAGAGCGGAGCATTTAATAATCTAATAAGATAATAACAAGAATAAGATCCTTTCTGTTTTTACAGAACATTTTGTGGAATGCTTTGTAAAGCTTCATGGGTGTTAAAGGTTCTCATGACAATAAAGAACCTGTGTAAGGAGAAAGAAAAAAAACGTTTGAAAAAAGGATAACATCCTGACAGAAATGTATCGGTGTCTTTTCTGTTAAGTTTATGGATTTCAGCCCTAAAACACACAATGCAATGCGTAATTCAAAATATGGGGAAAACACCTGAAAAAAAATATATAAATGGATAAAATTCCTTCATTTTGGTACATTGGGCCCCATTTTTTGGATTTTCTTAAAGTGCAAATGTTTTGTTATTTTGGAGCTTGACATTTACCATTGTTTTGAAAATGTTTAAAAGTGACATCCAGTCATTTCAATAGGAATCCACATGACTGAGAATGCAGATCTCGCATCAGGTTCAAACTGATCGTCGGTAGAAAGCTTGAGAGAGTGGCGCTTCATGCATTGCCACACTATTGGCAATAGACAATGGAGGTTTTTGCCGCAAAATTGTGCTAAAATTGCACTAATGTAAATGCCAAAAAGGTTTAGAACGACATGAATGATGTTTTTCCTTTAGATCTCTGGAGTAATTCCTCTTGATCTGCCTATGGTATAATCCTACACTGTAAAAAAAAAAATCTGTAAAATTTACCGTAAAAAAACTGTCTAAATGTTTTTGTTTACATAATATATTTGTGTGTACTGTGTATATGTATTATGTATATATAAATTCACACACATGCATTTATATATTTCAGAAAAATATGTTATGTTTTATATATTAAATATATTTATATATAATATAAATTATATGAATAAAACTGTAATATACATTTAGTCATTTAGCAGACGCTTTTATCCAAAGCAACTTATATGACTTATAAATATGCAATAAACATTAATTTAACAAAATTAGATGAAACATAGAACCCTAATAAACATAATTAGGAAACTACAAAAACTAAGAAGAGACATCCAGTTTGAAATGCAACGCAGGGAATTCTGGGAACATCAATTTATGTTTTTTTTTAACTGCAAATTATACATTCTTTTTCCACTTCTAAAAACGGTATTTTACCGTAAAATTACATGAAATGTCTATTAGAGTTTTTCACCGTATATAGTAGGGGAACTTACCATTAACCATTCAACAGGTTTTTACTGTAGCATTTTCACAGTTTTTTACCGTTGAAATCACGATCATTTTTAAAGTCTATTTTGCGTTTCTCCAGGAAACCGACAAGCTAGAAGAGGGCAAAGCCGCACTCCAGGCTGAAATCGAGAACCTCCTGAAGGAAAAGGAGAGGCTGGAGTATGTCCTCGCCACTCATAAACCTCTTTGCCAGCTGCCCGAAGAGCTGGACTGCCTGTTTCCAGAGTCTCCCCAGCCGCTCTCCACTTCCGAAGCGGCCAGCAAACTCCCCGAGGACGGCCCGCAGGACTTGGAGATCCCCATGGTACCGTCCACCGCCATTTCCGGCAACTCCAACATCCTTCTGTGCTCCAGCGCAGAGGTCAGTCTGTGCGACCTCGAGCCCTCTCTGGATGTCAAGGACGAGCTTCTCGACCGGATCTCGGCGGAAACGGCCCGCTCCGTCCCCGACATCGACCTGACCGGCTCGCTGGGCATCACGGACTGGGAAACCCTCTACAAGTCTGTGGCCAATGATCTCGAACCTTTGAGCACCCCGGTGGTGAGCACATCCACACCCACCTGCAGCAACTACCTGTCCGTATTTACCTTCGCCTGCCCAGAGCTGGACTCCCTGGCCGAGGGACTGGAGGGCTGCAAGGGTGGCGTGACCAAAGCAGAAACTAGCGTCGACATCCTCAACTCTCCCACCCTTCTTGCCTTATAAATGCAAGCGTAGATGATGTAATGTCACGACGTTGTTCTTAATATCTATTGGATATCGCGGTGTTATGATGTCCAGGTGTGTGATGTTGGTGTGAAGCCAGCTGTTCAATGGCTGCATCCATGTAATGTGTGCGGGATGGGTGTTTACTTTCTTCCAGAGACATTTGATGTAGCCCAAATACAAGAGCATGGATAATTATCTTATGAGCAGATATGAACTATGTTCTGGTTTGAAAAGCATGCACGAGACAACTATATATAGATTAGTGATGTGCGGATGAGCTAAAACGTCACCCGAATCCGCAGCTTCAAATAAATGATCCACCCGCCAACCGCTCGCACCTGCATTTTTGTCTGATTTAGATAACCGCACCCGAAATTTTGCCATTAATTGTAATAATGCAGTGTGATTAGTTTGTGCTCCACACAGAGATCTGATCTGATTATCATCAGTCTGTCTGGAATGACATGAAGAAACAGAACAAACTGAAAGAGTTATCGCATACCTCAGTGTCATCATTCGACTGTGTTTTCACATTGTTCTTAAATGTTTAGAGTTTTCCATGAAAACATCCAGTGCTATATTGATGGAGATGTATTTTATAATAATTTATTTTTCTACATTTTAAATTTGACTTCTTTGTCAAATGAAAAGAACGAAATGAGCATTGATTGCTGAATAAATATTCACGATATACAGTCATGCACTGGTGTTCTTGTGTCCTTTGTTTCGAAATAAACTGTGGATAGAAAGTAGAGCTTAACAATTGGCATGTATTTTCACTCTGCTAAACCAGTCATCCTTACACCAGGATGTTGAGTTGCAGACTATGGGGTTTACATTAATTCAGTGTTCTAACAAATAAAGACAAAAGCAATTATCAGTCGTTTTTTAAATGAAATTTTGTAACAGCCATCCATCTCAGATCTTCAGTGATATTTAGGGTTTGAGAAAACAGGTTACAGACACTAGAGAAAACTGGCTTCCAAAGAAAATCCCTCCCTCCTACTGTTAGACTGAAAGAGAAGTCTGAAAACCCCTCTGTAAAAATGAGTACTGTCATAAGATATGTGATCATAAGATGTGTACATGGACTCATGATAAACATTCAAATTTAGATGAGTTGCATGTTATAGGATATCATAAGTCAATTTAAATGAGTAAAGGAGCTCAAAATTGTAAGGATTTTTATCCTTTCAGACTGTGAACTATTGGACTGTAATGTGCAATGTTTTGTAGAACTGAAGCTACAACAACCAAGTAAACACATTTTCAGCTCAAAAGGGTACACAGCTTTTGTATTCTGTACACTAATAACACCTACAACTGCTTTCCAGTGTACAAAAACAAGCAGATGTTGACTGATATGTTGACTGATGCCTGCAAAAAAATATTTCAATCATACAAATTATAATATAGGTATGCTGCGATGCAAAAACACAACACACAACAAATTGTCATGTTACTAAAACATGTTATATAACACAATGTAACAAAAATTTGTTTCACTTAAATGTTGTATGGTTCTGTAATTCTGTGGTACTAATTATTATCGCACTATTTATTTTCATGTAGCATCAATATTTTGGTAAATATTTAGGTCAGGTACATTTTTAGAACTTCTATCATTAATCATGAAACACTGGCTTTGTCACACTTCTCGGGAGGCAAGGAGCGAGGAACGAGGAAACACGGAGATAACTTCAATTCACAGTCTTTAATGATCACACGGGGAACGTAGGAGACATCCGAGGACCATCTTCGGACGACAACGCTCTGCACTGGGCGTTCAGGCTTGCGTCATAGAAAGAGCAGAGCGCGTCGTCCGGATAGCTGGTGATGTTCGCGACCAACAGGAACAGTTTGGTATGGTCCTCGAGAGCTTTGTCTCCCTGCTCCAGCAGGAGAAGGAGGAATTCGGGGCGAGTGAAGGGATCCATGGGGACACAATGGAAAGAAAAACACTGGGAGCAAAATGGAGGGTACAAACGGAGGTAACTGTTTAGGTCGGTTCTTCTATCACACTTCTCGGGAGGCAAGGAGCGAGGAACGAGGAGACACATAGATTGACGTTCAGAACCGACAAACACTGACTGAAAGGACTAGGGCTTTTAAACAGGATAATTGGGGGAAGAACTAGACACACCTGGAATCAAATTAACACAATCAACGGGAGACAGAAACTGGGTCACAGGGAGCAAAAACACACACAGACAGGTCCATGAAAACACAACACAAAGAGTCCAGGGGCGTGACAGGTTTAGTACAGATATGGTTTTTAAAGATATTTTGCTTTTGGAAGGATGGGAACTTTCTAGAAGTTTCTGTAACATTCTGGAATATACTGTCACGTTCAAGTGCTTTCTGGAACAATGTTAAACTGTTGTTGTGTATTATGCATGTATGCCATTTTTATGCATGAGTAATAACAGATTAGCTTGTATAAGCTGTCAAAATATTTTTTTTAGTTTTCATGAGCACTGTTAATGACACACAAATAGTAATATGAATTTCATATTCAGCATGTCAAACTTCATAAAAAAAACGTACTTAAAAAAATTACAGCGAAAAAAAACTTGTATTAAAAAAAAAACAATTTCATGGTGTATTAAATTCTTGGTCTGCAGATTTTTTCCTGAGCTTTTTTCTGGTTATAGGAGAATGTGTTATTCATAATACTAAATAATTGTATCTTTATTTAGAAATACTGCACTATACTGTATATTATTTTAAAAGAGAAAAATAAAATTGCAATATATTTTATCACGTCTGGCAACTTGACAAACAGGTTTACAATATTACTGGGGGAAATATGCAAGTTAAATTTACATTTAATGATCTATAAGCATTTCACAGATTTCTTGTGATTATATAAAACTATTGTCAGAGCACCACAGCGAACAAATGAACCGGTTCTGTGCATTTATATATCACATGTTCAGTTATTCAGTAACTAATGGAGACAAGACAAAGATCAGACCTTTAAGATTTCTTATCCATCACATCTAGTGGATAACATGAGTCTCACATCATTTGTCAGATGAAATGTCTGATAGTTTAGAATTTACTGTCAGCACCCTGAGCATCAGACGTTCATGAAACTAAGCATGCTTCCTTCTGCATATTCTCCATACGTACTAAGTTTTGAGAGATTTGGATTTTGTGCACAGAAGATTTCATTCAGATTTGACATCATTAGCTACTGAACTATGATTGGCTGGCTATTTTTTTTACACCGCCAAGTCATATAGGAGATGTTATATTGGACGTCCACCAAAGAAGATGCAATCCAATTTCCAACTAACCCGATCATAAGGTTACTGCATTATTAAGGATTTTCTGTTGTAGGCGCAATATTGGCATTACTTGCCATGCATCCTCAGAATGTCCTGTGGTCTGTATGTATCACGTTTTGTTAAGTTTGGGCATTGCATTAGGAAGAAAATCAGCAATGCCGGAAATTAATGAATTAATTTGCTTACATCTTCACAACATTTGGACAAATCAAAATCCTTTAGATTACTTCTTGCCAGCACCATCCCTGACTTTGGTGAAGCTCGAAAGCGAGAGGTTACAGTAAGCAGTGAAAAATAAAAACATATATACATTTTCCCCCTTCACATCTGTTACAATATTTACCACTGCAGTTTAAACAAACTATGCATTTCACATATTTTAAAAGGGCATCTTGCTTTATTAATCTTCATTAGAAATGTCTTAAATAAGCAATGTGCATCCAATGTGTGTCAGTGTCCTACTCACTCAAAATGTGGTATGTACCATCTTGAGATACTCCTGACAAAGACAAGAGTCATTTAATAATTTAACAGACATGGGCCATTGGGCCGATATGTTTGGGCTGCAGCCCATAATAACTAAATGTCCCTTTTCTTGTAAACACAGTGTCCAAATATCACAAATGGTACACATGGACATTCTTAGAAAACAGCCAAAATATAATGTACATCTGATTGTTAGAGGGGATTGCAGCTATTTCTAAATCACTGTTTATATCCGTGTGATTGACCGAGGAAGGCTGTGATACTAATATTGTCAGAGCCACAGGATAAGACCTTTTCTCATTAGCGTAATTTTCTAGATCTCATAATTTGGCATCAGTGCATGACAATAAAGACAATAAAGAATGCAAAGGAATTAATTTATACAACAATGGTGCACTTACAGTATCTCCTGAGTTTAATGCATGTGGTAGTTTGCAAAGAAATCTGTGATCTCCAACATGCTTATATAGATCATTAAACAGTACCTTAATTTTATATCCTAACTTAGTAACTGGTTTAAATGTTGTATTTATAATTTTGTGTGAGTGTGTTTGATTATCACATAGATCTACTCATGTGTGTTTAGGTTTATAGCAGGCATTTAACAACAGTAACAACTACAAATGTCATGGCGTGTGTGATAAATCTTCACTCGACTGCCGATGTTGAGAAGCACTCAACAGAGTGCGAGTGACTCTTCACACTTCACGTTATACATGTACATCCAACAAAGCATCAAAAAGTACCACGGTACCATTAGGATAGGAACCAGAGTACCATGTAAATGTCATGGTACAAGCATTCTAACATCATGCTGCTGGTACTAAACAAAATCTTCCTTCATGACATGATTGCAGCTTCTGAAAAAACCCTAAAAATCAAACATTTCATCCTTGGGTTTTTGGTCTGCTCCTCTGGAAGCTTCCTCACTTCTCGTTCTTCATGGTGCAGTTAAGCAAATTGAGATATCCTTAAAGATGTCTGACCTCTGCTGATTTCCAGCTCAAGAGCTGGAGGACGGAGAAGTGAGGAAATGAGAAAGCAGTGGTTTGAGTATTGAGAAGCACACTGTGTGTCAGGTTTTGTTAAGTCGACACTGCATTGAGCAGAGGTTATCTTATCAAAATGGGCAACGCTTTAATAAATCAAAATTATTTTGATAACTTTTTGTCATGATGGTCTTGGGCTGAAGTTTCATGCCAATCAAACCAATGGCTAAAGTTTTTAAAAAAGCAAGTAAACAATAATCTAATAGACAGACATTTATAGCCTATATATTTAATCAACTATCTGTTTTTGCGTATAGCATCAGTTTATGGAGATCAACTATGGATTAAATATATATAAATGCCCACAAATGTTAGATTTGGTCTGTGCAATTTCAGATCCATAAAAATGTTTCAGTGTTATTCAGTGATTTTGTATTCACCGCCATTACTTTGCCCCACTTATGACCATAAA